ACGCCCCCCACGGCCCACGCAGAGCCCGGGACGCCCACTCTGTGCCACGTTAAACCACACAGCACATCTCACTCCCCGTGAGCAGCTCGGTGCACTGCTCTGGTTCCACTAAGGAAACCTCCACGGTGCGGCTGCCCAGGGCTGCCTTGTGCCCTGCGCTTCCAGTGCCGGCTCTCCTGACACACAGCTGAAGCCCTCTCCTGGAACGTCTCAGGCTCCAGGTCAGATTTCTTTCCTGTAAAATGGGAAATCTGGCTGAGGTAAGAGACAGCTGTGCCAAACTCTTATGGGAACTAAAGGCCAAGGCCAGCCACAAAGGCACTGAGGAGAGTTCACTGCCCTCTAGTCTTTCCAGAATCGAAAACAACAGCAGCAGCAAAACCTGAGCCCAGCACTGGTGGCTCACGCCTGTCATCCTAACTACTCAGGAGGCTGAGATCCAGAGGATCACAGTTCAAAACCAGCCTGGGCAGCAAAGTCCTGCGATTCCATCTCCAAAATAGCCAGAAAATAAGCTGGGTTGGAGGTGGGTATGGCTCAAGTGGTCACAAGTAAGCTTGGTCCTGAGTTCAAACCCTGGTATTGAAGGAAGAAAACTGCTTTGTGGACAAAGTAAAAAGCAGAATGCTCATGGGCCTAGCTTTTTTTTGGGTGTGTGTGTGGGGGAGGGGGGAGGTACCTGAGTGTCAAAGAAGGGCTGAATTCTTATCTGTGGCCTTGCCCATGTGGGGACTGAAATCCTATGGTCAGATGTACACATGCAAGGCCTGCCACAGGGCCTTGGTGTTCACGGGCAGGCCTCCATGCTGGGGGACATTATGTACACTTGCTGGTGGCCCAGCCAGGAAAGACAGCTTCACCAAGCGAAGCGCAGTAACTCTGTCACTGTGGTGACAGCAAGGGTGGTGGTGGGTGGGGCTTAGGTCTCAGCTGTCTATGACTGGTGGGGCTCAAACTCACTAGGCAGTTTTAAAAACACCAGAAAGTAAGTGTGGGCGAGGATGTGCAGAACCCCCATGCACCATGGCTGGGAGCTTGAAATGGTGCAGCTGCTGTGGAAATGTTTGGCAGTTCCTTAACAAATTAAAAACACAAGCTGGGTGTGGCGCTGCATGCTTGTAATTCCAGCACTAGGGAGGCTGAGGCAGGAGGGTAGATGAAATTTAAGGCCAGCCTGAGCTACATGGTAAACCCTGTTGCAAAAAGACAGCAAAGTAATACAAGCACCATGATGTACGATTCCACTTCTGGGTCTATTCCAGAGACTGAACACAGGGTCTCAAAGAAGAACCCGCACACCTATGCTCCTGACACAACCGGCAACCGCCAAGGGAGGGAAGCCAGTCTGTGTCCACGGACGAGGCTGGACAAAGAAAGCGGGACATACACACACAGTGGAGCACCACGGGCCCTTCAGCAGGAATTCTGCCACATGCTGCCACGTGTGTGAGCCTCGAGGACACAGTATTTATTGAGATTAGCCCGTCATGGAAGGATAAGTCCTATATGACGGCCCGCAAAGTCGGTCCCAGTTCCTGGGAACCAGAGATGGATGTTAGGGTTTAATGGGGCCAGAGTCTCAGTTTGGGGACATGAGACAGTTCTGTAGATGGACCTTGGTCATGGCTGCCCAATAATGTAAGTGGGCTCTCAAACAGGGACAGATGGTAAGTCTCACAGTCCATGTATCTTATCACCAAATATATGTATGTATATATATATATGTGTGTGTGTGTGTGTGTGTGTGTATACATATATATGTACATATACATACATATATATATATATATATATATATATATACATAATGTTATATATAACGTCATATGTCAGTCCTGGGGCTTGAACTCAGGGCTTGGGTGCTGTCCCTAAGCCTCTTTGTAATCAAGGCTAGCACTTTACCACTTGAGCCATAGCACCACTTCTGGCTTTTTCTGAGTAGTTTATTGAAGAGTCTCATGGACTTCCCTTGCCCGGGCTGGCTTTGAACTGCGATCCTCAGATCTCAGATTGTGGGCGCCCTGTTCACCAGGTATCTAGTTAAGGAGCGTGACAGCGTGAAGCCTAGAGGCGTCCGCGTGAGGCAGCTCCCGGTGTGGCCTCGGCCTGCCATTGCACGAAGGCTGTCTCCCAGCACAGGGCTCAAGGCTCTGTCTCTTCCCATTCATCCGGGTCGAGCGACAGACTTGACAATTCTTTTCCTTGCACAGACGGCGGTGTGAAACCTCTTGCTGCCTTGGAAGTGTGGGCTGGCGGTCATGGTATCCTCAGTGTCTGGATCCTGAACCCCACACAGTCCAATGCCCTGACCTGCCTACTGGCCTGGGTTGCCTCCTCTGTTTGGGGTCCACAAGATCGGGGATGGGGGGAGGGCTTGTTCATTCAGCCTTGCCCAGGCCACCATAAAAAGTACCTGGACCTGTGTGTGTCCCCACATAGCACCTCCAAACACTCTGAGTCTCTGACTGGCTGCTTTAGTCTATGCTGTTGCTTAAAAGAACAAAAACTCAGAGCCTTCTGTTCTTGCTCGACTTTGTTCACTCAAGGCTGGAACTGTACCACTTGAGCCACACCTCTACTTCTGGTGTTTTGCTCAGTAATTGGGAATAAGAGTCTCACGGACTTTACTGCCTGGGTTGGCTTCAAACCTTGATCCTCAGTTTTCAGCCTCTTGCATAGGCAGGGATTACAGGTGTGAGCCACTGGCTGCTGCTTCTTGATGTGGCATGAGTTCTAGTTGGCTCTGGATGCCAACCTGGCACCATGGCTAGGGTGTCTTCCCTTACCTCCCTGGACCCTGCTCAGACCCCCGCCTCCGCTAGAAGGCTGAGTACAGGGTGCTGTGGCCAGACGGCACTCGGGCACAGGGCCCTCTGCACTGGGCTGCAGGAACTGGTTCTCTGATGGGCCCTGGCGCGCCAGCTGCAGGCATGTATTGTCACTAGTAGGGGGCTGTAGGCTGTGGAAATGGCGGCATACTTCACACAGAGCACAAAGCCTTTGTGGAATGTGCTGTGAATTTCAGACGAGCCCCAGGAGGAACAAAGAGCTTGCCGACCTGAAAGGATGCACACTTGCATGCTGAGCTGGGTGCCTGGACTTTCCACCCAAAGGCTCAGCCTTCTGCTGGTGAGCTGGAGCCTCATGCCCAGGGCATTTCCTGTCCCAACCAACTCTGAACAAGGGCCCAGGGCTGAGGACCGTGCTGCTGAGCAGGGCTAGACTGCCCCCTGGTGGACACGTCTGAGCCCGGAAGGTGAAGGAGTGGTGATGTCCCTGTTCCATTCCTTGGCAATGCGGCTACTTTCAGGCTTCAGGAGGGAGAGGCCTGGTCAGGGCCCAGCAGAGCTCACCAGCTGGAGTCAGTGGGCAGCCATGGCTAGCAGGTGAGCCCTGGCAGATCCGCACGGTTCTCTCCTATTCCCGCTCAGGCCGCGAGGGTCTTTGCTGGGTGCCAGGAAGCACTTTGTCTCTGGGCAGCAGACCCTGGCCGGGCGGAATGTTCCAGGCTCTCAGGGAAAGCAAAGATCAGGTTATGGTCTGGGCCGGTTGCTGACCAGTATGGCTGCTCTGCTGCTTGCTGGGTTGGGAGCCCATGTAGAGACAGAGCCCAGGAGCTTTCCTCAGAGAGGTGCGCTGAGAGTCTGTGCACCAGGACCGTGATGGCAAACCCTGCATTTTGCCAGCTCTAGCCTTGTGCATCAGGAATGGGATGCTCTGAGGGGCGGCTGTGGTCATGAGTCTCTGGGTGTTGAGGGATGGGTGGGGAAGGGCAAATCCTTGCCAGTCAGTGTTGTACCTCTGGCTTCAGCCTGCCTGGGACATGCCGCAGGTCTCATGAACTTGCAGCCCATCCTGGGCGGAGGGGATGGGTGAGTCTGGCTCAGAAGCATGTGGATGGACATCAGCCAGCAGAGGTGGACCCCTTGGGGCCTGGAGGGCGCCAGCCTGGGCACCACTGCTCTGATCGTGGCTTGTCCAACACAGGCAGGGCTCCAGGCAGAACTGTGCTGTGTGAGTAACATGCGAGGCATCGCGCAGCCTTTCTGCAGCCCGCACCGCTGGCCACCTCTGAAGTTCACTCAGCTCCATCTCCTGCAGGCCCCTCTCAGCCTTCAGTCCATGCTTCCCTGCTCTCCTTGAGGGAGTGGGCCCCCAGGGAGCCAGTGGTGTTCAGTCGCAGCTCAGGGCCATCTCCTGAAGACCTGCTCCCCCATCTCTGAGACCACCTGTGTCTGAATCTTAGGAGCAGCTGGCTTCCTGCTGCCAAGGCTCTGTTCTTCCACCCGCTGGCCTGTCATACCAGCACCTTGGTCAGGGTGCGAACCCAGCTACCATGGTCCCTCTACAGCGATGTTTTCTCAGCAGTATGGATCAGAGGCTGCAGGACCCAGGGACCGCGGCGGGCCACGGCGGCCTGTGCTCTCACGGGGATTCACTGTGTCTAGAGGCCTGACGGTGTCATTTCTTCCTGTTGGCACCACAGTTGCCAGGTGAGCCCACGTCCTTGCGGTCATGGCCACTGCTGCCCTACGGAGCCTGGGCACGGGACACACGGTGCGGTGACGGCTGGCGTGGCCAGGAAGCCCTGGCGCAGCAGGTCCCCTGCTGGAGACCGCCCTGCCGTCAGGCCCAGACGGCCCAACCCTCCTGAGCAGCTCAGCCCATCTGTCACCAGGAAAACATGGACATGTTGGTATTTGCTCTTTGCCCTTTTGGAAGTTTGGCACTGTTCCTGGTCGACGGCGCTTTTAGTATCATGTCCCCTGCGACAGTACCGTAGCTGCTGTCTCCTGTCTGCGAGACCCACTCATCTCGGATGCTGCCTGTGTTAGCCTGACTTCTGGGGCAGGGTCCACCCCAGCTGAGACCTGGGGTGCTGGGGGCTGCAACCCCATGTCCCTCACCTGCAGTGCACCAGGTGAAGCTGAAGCACTCCGGAGTCCCATCCCCCCAGGGCCTCAAGGAGGCCGCCTCCCCAGCCTTGGCACCCGAGATACCTCGTAGGTGGAGCCGTCGGCCCGGCACAGCACTCCGTGTCCCTGACGCTGGTCCCGGACCCAGTTGCCTTCGTACCTGTCACCATTCCTGAGGACAGAGCGCAGGGCCTCAGCCGGGAGCCAGGTGGCCACGGTGACTCAGACCAGCTCCTCCGACTGTGCTCAGCACGCACGACCGGGGCCAAGGCAAAAATAGGCTCTGAACAGATGGCCTGTGAGCTCCGGCCTCACCGGGGCTGGCGTGAGAGGGTGAGGCAGACAGGGCATGGCTGCCCGTGGAAGAGCGCTTTGCAGCGCATGTGCGCCCACGTGCACCCTGCCCAGCCCTTGCTCCCTGAACAGGAAACGACAGGGGAGGGTGGGGAGGGGGCTGCCCTCATCCCAAGGGTGGGTGCTGGGCAAGCATCCATCCAGGAAAGCTGGAACTGGGCTTGGGGCACCAGCCCTCTGTCTCGAAGTGGGGCAGGAAGGGTGAGTTGTTTACATAAAGTCATTTTTTAAGTTTTTTCAGGTACAGTGGCTTGTACTCAGGGCCTGGGTAGTGTTCCTCAGCTTTTTTTGCTCAAGGCTAGGACTTTATCACTTGCGCCACAGGTCCACTTTTGTTTTCTTTTGGTGGCTAATTGAAGATAAGAGTCTCATGGACTTTCTTGCCCAGGCTGGCTTCCAACTGCAATCCTCAGATCTCAGCCCCTTGAGTAGCTAGGATACAAGTGTGAGCCACTGGCTCCCAGTACTATACACATAATCGAGTTAAACGGGAGGGTTGGGGTGCAAAGCCCTTGTGTGGCATACGCAAGGCCCTAGGTTTGAGCCTCTAGGAACACACAGGGACACACCAACAGCAAATCCCAGAGCGCACTTGAGGCCTGGCACGCAGTCTGCCCTATCCCCCAACCCCCACTAGCGCCACTCCAGGAACCGTGGGCGCTGCTCCGGCTGCGTGGTGTGCCAAGGGCTGGCCCGCCTCCAAGACTCATACTCACTTAAAGCACATCTGCCCGTGCCCGTGCCGCCTGTTGCTATGGAAGGCTCCCTGGTACGTCTGCCCATCCACGTCCACCAGAACCCCCTGTCCTAGGGAAGGAACCGAGAGTAGACATGAGCTTCGCCTCAAGCCTCCCCCGGGTGAGCCCTGCTCCCGGATCCCACACCTCCCAGAGGGACTTGGCCTACAGCCATTTGGCCAGAATCAGCCTGGCAGAGGTGGTAAGCAGGAAGGTTGCGAATTAAAGGTCTGGCGCCCACTGCCCACTCTAGAGCCAGGCTGCCTGCCAGGCGAGCTTCAGAGCGGCCAGAGCACTGCCAGCACTGTCCAGCCAGAAATGGCAGATGTAACATGGGATAGTGACAGCTGCCACTGCGCCGGCCCCGTTCTTAGAAGCACGGGGCAGGCTCCACCTCAGTGCAACGTGACGTGAGATGCAAGTGCGCCGCCGTCTGAGGGTCACACAGAACACCCCGGCTCTACGCACGTGATCACCCGCCGAGCAGTGTGCAGAGCAACCCTCCCGCCTGCAAGGAAGGCACTTGCTCTCACCCAAAAGGCCGGAGGAGAAACCAATGGGAATGTGGCCTTTGGACCACTTTGAACCAGTAGAAATTCTGAGTGCATTTCTACTTCCTAATGCAAGCAAACCCAGAGAGAGAAAAGGAAGATGCCTCTGTGATTTGAGGTATCAGAACCTGCTAGGCTGGTCAGTGTCCAGTGTGCAGACAGGGACTCCTCAGATCTGCCTCCCACCAAAGTGGACCTGCAGGGACCACTGAGGCCCCGGGCAGTGTCGGGCCTGGCTGAGCTCTAAGGACTGGCTGAATGTGAGAACCGTGGGCTCAGGCCAACCCGCTGACCCGAGGTCATGAGCAAAAAAATGGGGGCCGTTTTAAACTCCACACAGTGGGAACAGTGGACCACAGTGGACCAGTGGTGTGGCAGCCACCAGGCATGCCGCAGAGGCTCCTCAGCCACGGGTCCCGCGTACTGATCAGTGCCGGGCGGTCTGGGGCAGACAGGAAGGTGTAAGCCCCGCCTCCGCCCCAACTTCTCAAGGCAGACAGACCAGGTGAGTAGTCCCTATACCCGCATGGCCACCGGGCTCCCATCTCCCGTCCCTCCCCGCCTATGCCGGCTGCAGACCTTCCCTCAGGCCACGGGAGAACTCCCCTTCATAGTGGCCCCCGGCTTTGTACTTCATGATGCCGCGTCCTTGAGGCTCTCCCAAAACAAAGTGTCCGGAATAGCTATTTCCTGGGTGTAGATGAGGAGAGGGTCAGTTCTGGTCCTGTCCCCCACTGCCCGACCCCGGGTGTGGGAGGCGCTGCTTTGGAATGGACATCTGTCCCTCAGTCTTGCTCTGCAGTGTGGTACTCTCTAGTGAAGCAAGCACATGGCCAGCAGGCTGTCCCGGGGGACCTTCTCCAAGGGCACCCATGGGGCCTGACTGGGTGAAGGTTAAGTCTTCGCCCCAAGCTCTCTAAAAACAACCAACACTGAGCCTGAGAGACAAGCTCTGCTGAGCGTGGACCCTCTGCTGGCCCTGTGGTCTGAGGACATGGTGTGGCTGGAGCGTCTGTAAAGAAAACTGTCCTTTGGGGTTATGCATTTTTATTTTAACACTGTGTGTGTGGGGAGAGCTGAGAAGTTTGTAGAGGTGAGTGCCAGACCCCACCCAGGGATCCCCAGGACACCCCAGGCCTGGGCCAGGTCCTTCCTGGGCATGAAGGGTACACAAGTTGTGGTGCCAGGCACAGCTGTGCCCCGCTGGTACGTGGCCATTCTGTCCTTATCCCTCACTGTGAGGAGAGCCTGATGCCCTTGTTTCTCTAGTGTCTTCTGTGACCAGCGCAGGGACTGACTTACACCCACATCCAGTGCTAACCTGACCAGGCCCAGTGCTGGTAGCCTTCCCCTGTAATCTCTCCATCCACAAACTCGCCTTCATAATATCCTCCATCTTTAAACAGCAACTTCCCGTGACCTGGTGAGAGAAATTAGCATCAAGTCTGATGGCCCATGGGAGTGGAGCTGATCAGCCCCACACCTTGGCTGATTTCCAGATTAAAAAAAAAAAGTACTGCAGTTTGAACTCAGGGCCTGTGCTCTCTAGGCAGGAACTGTATTGCTGAGCCATGCATTCAGGGCTTTTTGTACTGGTTATTTTTGAGGACCTTGCTTCTTACTTAGGCGCATGACTGAGTACAATCTCCCTATTTTTGCTTCTCTTCCTTCTATAACTGGTGTAACAGGTGTGTACTACCACCAGCTCTTTCTGTCAAGATAGGACTCGTGGACTTTTCTGCCTGGAACTGGCCTGCAATTCCTGAAAACCGCACATGTGGCTAGGGTGAAAGGCGTGTCCACCACACTCAGGAGTCTTATGTATATCCTTGGGATGGCCTCAAAGTGCAGTCTTCTCAATCTCAGCCTCCCAAGTAGCTAGGATTGTAGGTTTTAGCATCTGGAACCGAGCATGTGTGTATGTGTGTGTGTGTGCTGGTACTGGGGCTTGAACTCAGGACCTTGTGCTCTTGTTTGCCTTTTTTTGCTCAAGGATGGTGCTCTACCACTTGATCCACTGCTCTACTTTCAATTTTTTTTCCTGGTTAATTGGAGATAAGAATCTCATAGACTATCTAGGCTGGCTTTGAACTGTACTTCTCAAATCCTATTCTCCTGAATAGCTAGGATTACAGGTGTGACACTGGGTGCTCAGTGGCACACAGCACTTGGGGGATTTATATCTCGGAGAAGACTTCAGTTGCCCTGGGGCACATGCTTAAAATCTTAGCTAATGGGGAGGCTAAAGCTGGAAGATCTCAAGCTCAAGCCCAGCCTAGGCAACATAGAAATCTGTCTAAAACAACAAAAGAGGCACGAAGAATATAGATGAGACATGAGTCATTTGCTCTGTGCACGTTAGAGAAGAGTCTGAAGAAGACATTGTAAAAAAGTGTGCAATTCTCTACATGGTTCTGACAAATCTTTTTTTTTTTTTTTTTGGTCTGGTCATAGGGCCTGAACTCTGGGCCTGGGCACTGTCCCTCAGCTCTTCAGCTCAAGGCTAGCGCTCTACCACTTGAGCCACAGCGCCACTTCCGGCTTTTTTCTTTTTGCTTATGTGGTGCTAAGGAATTGAACCCAGGGCCTTAGGCATGCAAGGCAAGCACTCTACCACTGAGCCATCTTCCCAGCCCTCTGACAAATCTATCTGAGCCTCCCTGCCTGCATGGTAGAAGAAAATCCTTGACATTGGCATAAGAATAAGAAGCATTTGGGGCTGGCAAGCTGGCTCAATGGTAGAGTGCTTGCCTTGCATTCATGAGGCCCTGGGTTCAATTCCTCAGCACCACGTAAATAGAAAAAGCGGAAAGTGGTGCTGTGGCTTCAAGTGATAGAGTGCTAGCCTTGAGCTGAAGAGCTGAGGGATGGCACCCAGGACCAGAGTTCAGGCCCCACAACCAATAAAAAAAAAAAGAAAAAGAACATCTGTATGGCAAAAACACTATAAACTAAAAGGCTAATAGATATGAAAAGCCAACTGTGCAGTGGAAAATGGGTGACACTGAGCAGGAAGGGTCCACGAACACACGTAAATCCACTGAGCACAGACACTGAGATATTCACAGTACTTGCTTGGCCTGTGGGGTGGGGCAGAATTGGAGGCATTTCAGGGGATGTTTATATATCTTTCCTCTATGGATTGGATTGTCTACAAAAGCAGGCCATTTTTAAAAATAATCAGGACAAACCATGTATGTGACATGCTGGGGTTGGGTGCAGCATGTGCTTGCTCTGGACACAGTGCCTCTGCCCAGCCTTGCTGCCCCAGTGTGTAGCAGCAGGCTCTAAAGCTACAGGAGATGGTCTATGGGCTACAAGTGGGAGTCAGCACGAACCTGGAGCAGGGTGGCCCTGGTGCCTGGGTGCAGTTCTCAGTCGGGCCTGGCATGGGGCGTTTCCTGCACCCAAGTTCCCCAGAAAGGTGACTATGTGAGCTGCCAGGGGCAGCTTCAGGGATAGACCACTGAGGCTTCTTACCGTGTTTCTTCCCTCCTTTCCATTCACCTTCATATCGGAAGAAAGAGTTTGGGTATTCATAGACACCATAACCTGGATATTGAAAACATGAGCAAGAGTGACCACCTGACACCATGGCTTCACTGACACCAACAGACACCAGGAGTTGAGGCGGCTCGGAGCTCCGGAGGAACTCCTGCAGGTCCTGGGGAGATAATCTCTCCACAAGCCAGTTACCTGCCTAAGGGCTGTGTGGGGTTCAGTTGAGAACTGTTTACTGTTCCTCCATTGGTCTTGGACATAGAGAGGAGCCTCAAGTTGGTGCAGAAACGGAGGCTCAATGAGCAGGAGAACTAGGACCAAAGAGAAGCAGGACCCTGAAAAAAGACGTCTGAAAGGTGGTGGTGGTGGTGGAGTTGTGAAGGACAGGCCTGGTTAGCCAGGTGCTGGCAGGGAGCTGGGAGAGCAGCATCCATGTTGGGGGAGAAGGGGAGCCCCACCCCGCGGGGACCTGCCTTCAGTGCACATCCCTAGAGTGCCACCCCTAGAGAGGCCTGGCCAGTCTCATCTCCGACAATTCGGCTGCCGGGCACCATCCCCGCTGGCCGGCGTCCAGTTCCGGGGGTAGGCCGGTTTCCGGTCCGGAAGGCGCAGGCTGGGGCAGGCAGTGGGGAGGCGGGCGCGCAGAGCCGGGCCGCTCAGGCCGCGCCGTGCGGCTCGCACCCCGGGCTGG